CATTGATATCAATCCAAAGGTTTTGATAACAACCTAGAAGGAAATGTTTTTTGTAAAATTTAAAATTGTCAATTTAAATGAAATGGTTCTTCTCATTATAAAATCAACTCATATAAATGAAATGTCTCTTCTCATCATAAAATCAACTCATATAAATGAAATGTCTCTTCTCATCATAAAATCAACTCATATAAATGAAATGTCTCTTCTCATCATAAAATCAACTCATATAAATGAAATGTCTCTTCTCATTATAAAAACAAAATAGAATCCGAAATAATTATCGGATTCTATTTAAGTCCACTTAGAATTTCTAACTGTCAGTATTTACAACATAAGAAGAAATACATTGAAAATATTTTTAAGTTCTTCCAATACTTTAATTATTTCATATTTAATGTGGAACAGAAAGCTCATCATTTTTTTTTTTAAATTTGAGAATGAACGATATAAATTTAACAAAATGGGATCCATACCTATCAACTAACACAACTACAACTGAAAATGATTTGGCACTACTTAAATAGACTGGTCCACTCATAATAAAAGAATTTTTGTGTTCTTTACACGTTCCTCAGACAACAAAATTTGTTCGAATCGAAAAATATTGATTTGTTATTGATTTAGAAGGTGAGTCCTGTTATTCTATCGACAGTGTTAAATCGATCCTTGACATTTACAGAGTTATTGGCCTTTGAATTCTTTGCGTACGAAAACGATTTTTTTAGGTGAGGTTACAAAACGTTTTCTCTTAAATAAGGAACAAATGTATATATACATTCTTCAGTAAAGACCAAAAATTTTACATGAATGAATAAAAAGGTTGCAGATTTAAACATATTAAATGACATTATAACGACATCTTACTGTAGGAAGTCTTCAGACTACATGAGAACAACCGACTTGCAATGAAATGGTCCTTAAGGAACATCGTCTTAACGCGGGGACCAACTTTATTTCTTTAATTGTGCTAATTAATTCCATAATTTATCAATATTATCACGATGAGACCCACATTATTTGTCAATATATATATATATATATATGTGTGTGTGTGTGTGTGTTTATGTGTGTGTGTGTGTGTGTGTGTGTCGATAAGCATATGTCCTTTTCACCAGAAAGAATAAAATTTACACTTATCTGTCTGAAATAGATAAGAAAAATTTTAATTTTAATGAAAGGCCCACTTCTCGGTCGGGCCAAGAATAACAAAAGTCAACCTCCATAGATAGATATGAACATGTCAAGATAGATAGATAGATAGATAGATAGATAGATAGATAGACAGACAGACAAACAGAGACAGGGACAAAGACAGGGACAGGGAGACAGAGACAGAGAGAGAGGGAAATATTGTGTTGGTCAAAACGTTATAATCAGGGTGTGATTATTTGTAAGACAAAAATTATTGTGTTCATCATTTTTCTAAGACAAAATTGTTGTGTTCATCTGAAAGTTAATTTTTTTTACCTGTAAAGTTATGAAATGTTCAAATGGTTTAAGTTGACAAAACTTATTTAAATTATTCAATAAGACATGTCTTAATGAAAACATGTTGACGTAATATATATATAATATCTGTAATATATATATATATATAAATATATATATATATATATATATGTATGTAAAATGTTTTATATTTATATACAATATACATTTTTTCATATATATATATATATATATATATATATATATATAATTATTTATATGTTATAGAAAAACTTATTAGAAAGCGCTCAATATTTGAGCTAACATATTTCATACCACCATAAAAAATAACCATCAAACCAGTTACATATACAGAGTCATCAAAAACAAGCAATTAACAAGCTTTAAAATAATAACAAATTTTTACCTATCATAATTCTACACAGACTGCCACCACACGTATATACGTGCATGCGAGGAAAATATTATTCAGTGAAAAAAAAGAAAAATGCTCTGTTTGCTGACATGTATACATTAACGAGACATTCACGAGAAATTTTCGCTACACTTCCGATTTTTGAATTTCAACATACAAATGCGTATGTATATAGACAACAGCATACATATACATATATATTCAAATATATACTGTCCATATATGTTTATGTCTGTATGAAATATGGCGGACGAGCAAGTGTGTATGTTTGTCTGGGAAGATCAACAGGTGTATGGACATGCATCTATGTTTGCGTTTAGCATGAGTGACATCACAACGACGAAAATTTTTGGAAATAATAACACCAATACACGCAATCTACATAAACCCAAATTTAAAAAAATAATCAGTTTGTCTGACGATATTAAAAAGCGTGAAACCCAGGGTCACAAACTCACATCAATCAACCACCATATATATATATATATATATATATATATATATATGATATATAGATATATATATATATATATATATATATATATATATATATATATATATATATATATATATGCATATTATATTGTTTTAGTTTTGTATAAATATTAATATATATGTCTTAATGAAACACATGCTGATGTTATATATATAATATACGTAATATACATATATATAATGCATATATATAACACAATACATATAGTACATATTATATATATATATATATATATATATATATATATATATATATATATATATATATATATATATATATATATATATATATATATATATATATATATATATATATGTATATATATATATATATATATATATATTTATATATATATAATTGGGGGGGACACTCCGACGTGATGTCATAGAAAGAAAACTTTTCCCGCTGGATTAGTTATGATCTTTTCACAGTGTACTCTTTAATCTAGATCCTGTCTGTCAACTCAACTATACATAGTAAATCACTATATATATATATATATAATTGAGTATTTGTGTAGCAATCCCTCTTTTATACAGGTTTTATTAAAGATAACTATCAATGCGATTAAGTTTTTTTTTTATTATATTTTTCTTGCATACATAAAAGAGATTTATTTCCGTGTCATAGAAGAACTGTCCAAATGATGTCCTATGTCCTATGTTTTGGGGGAGTTTGCTGCTGAGTTGTCATTTTCGACGATGAGGTTGACCATTTTCATTTTTTTATTTTTAATAAATAATAAACTTAATCTTTTCTAACTGAAGTAGTACATTTCGCAATAATGTTTCTAAGGAGAAATTCCTCCTTATAATTAACATGAATTTGTAATCCTGGGCATGACGATAAACTACATCCGGCAGCAAAGCTTCTGATTAGGTTATGAGGAGCGTGGAACCAACTCTTAATTGTTGTTTACCTAGGTACACCCGGGGTGGTAGCACCTGCTAGGACCCCATCTATAGATAAATAGTGAACCCCCAAACACTATGTAAGTATAAGGGTACATTTTTATAGTAAAAATACCAGCAACACATTTTTATATTAAAAAAATTTACCAGCGATACATATTTATAGTGAAATTACCAACAATACATTTTTAAATAAGAATACCCCGTAATATATTTTATCTGTAGTTGAAGCCATAAAAATATGTTCAAAATATCTAGATTTCTGCATTAAATAACCCATGGCGGTGTTGATATACCTCTAAACAAAATCAACCAATTTTAAGTAAAAGAAAAAGAAAATTTTGTTATAAAAAATATTAAAATGTTCAATCCCATCGTCAAAAATAATTCCCCATTGTTAAGTGGAGGACTCCAAGATATTGGAGGTAAAATGACCGATTCCGTGAAAGAGCAACGTACAAAATTAAAGTGATTTTTCAAGCGTAGCTTAGATGTGGCACAAAGCCGCAAGTGTGGGGCACCTAATGAGGATCGAACTCACTAATCAGTCGTAATTGTTCTAGCTAGGCAAGCTTGCTAACCATTACATCGCCTCGAGGTACCTCCCCATGTACAAAATTATAAGTGGAAAAATGCTGCATATTAATGTTCCCATAGATATTGATAGGTTCGCCAGTTTTTGAACAGGAGCGGGAGATTTTTTGTTTAGTACTGGGGTTTCCAGTTCCTTCTAATGTCTACTTCAACTCTATATTTCTGACATTTCCACTTGAACTCTGAAATTTTATTCACTAATTATTATTTTTTTTCCTCTCCCAATAGGAGTAGATAGCTTCGCCTATCGCCCGGTCTCACACTCCTCTTTTGAACAGGAGTAGAGGTTTATCCCTTGTTTCCTGTTTAGGATTAGATTTCCAGTTGCTTTTAAAATCTACTTCCACGCTATACTTCTAATGCCTCCGATTGAACTCTGAAATTTTATTCACTAATTATTTTGTTTTGTCCTCCTCTCCCAGTAGAAGTAGATAGGTCCCCACATCTCTCCAGTCTTTTGAACAGGAGTAGAGGTTTATCCCTTGTTTCCAATTTAGGATTGGGTTTCTGTTTTCTTCTAAAATCTATACTTCTAACGTCTCTGACTCATCTCTGAAATGTTATTCACTAATTCAAACTCGACCATTTTAAGTCTAGAGCTAGGTGTTATCCTGCATAACCCAAAGAACTTTACTTCTTGTCCTTTCTTCCGCCAATACAACACCATACAGTAAACCTCTACCTTGAGTGGCTCTTGGAAATTGAATTTTTTTTTTTTTTGTTTAAATATAGCTTGAGAAAGTTATAAATTTTTTTAAATATAACTTGAGAAAAGTTATATTTTATTTTGATTTGACTTATAAGGCTGATTGAGGTATTGATGCAAATATAGATCTTTGTTAAATATAACAAAGGTACTTGGCGGCTTTTTGAGATTTGTTTCAACTTTGTCTAAGAGACATTTATTTGGAAGAGGCGTTTTTATTCCCAAGAAGAGGAATTATTGCCTTTGATTTGTTTGTATTGTTGACTCGGAGAGTCAACGTTTTATTTGGCAGAGTCGTTCGATGAGGGGAAGGCTGCCCCATTCTCGTTCTCTATTTAAAATGAGATTTAAAATATTTTAAATAGATTTTTATTTTAAAATTTAATCTTAGCCTAGGTTAGGCGTTGTGTTTTCTAATTTTAGCTTTCAGCTCCTAAAAAAGAGAAAAAGACTTTCTGAAGAAGAAAAAGAAATATATTTGAAGAAAAAAGGAAGATCAAATAAATTTATAGAAGAAAGAAGATAAAAGAATCTGAAGAAATTGACTGTTAAAAGATTTTATAACAAGTTTTGTTTATTGTAAAAGAAAAGGTTGAAAAAAGAAAAGAAAAGGTGTTTAAGTTGTCAGCTTATAGAATGATATAATCTATAGACTGACAAAATTATTTATGTAAGTAAATCCTTTTGTTTATCATTATGTTTTGTTACTACTTAGCATATGGAACAATATGCATGTAATTTTTGATTTATTAAAATAAATATTTATCTGTGAACAGTATATTTTGATTGTTATCTAATAATTTTAAGATCGTCTGCTTCATTGAGTAGTTTTGTTGTTACTTTCCTATGAAGAGAACAAAATCGGCAGTTTATTTCTGTGTATTAATATATTTAATTATAATTTAAATATATTGATTTAAGATCTTACACGGGTAAAACTTGAATTTAATTGAGAACTTATTTTTTAATTTAAATTTGGGTTTAAAAAAACCATTACTAATGCAATATGTCATATTTTCCAATCTCTCATTCAAAAGGCTCATTTGTCATTATTGTAGTTAACTTTTCTTGTTGACAAAGTTTGCAGATATCCTAGTTAAAGGTGATCAATCCTTACAACAATTATAGTAATATATAGATGTAATAATAGTAATATCTGCAGCTTTTGCCAACAAGAAAATTTAACTAGTTAGGAAATCAATTGACCGAAATCGCCTGAAGATGTCGAAAGGTTGAAACCAAGATGGCGGAATCGGCTGGTCGCCTAATTTTTTGTTTTCTAGTCTAATTCAACTCTGACCATTAACTTTTTATTATATATATATATCTTTCTCTCTCTCTCTCTTTCTCTCTCTCTATATATATATATATATATATATATATATATATATATATATATATATATAAATATATATTATATATATATATATATATGTGTGCGTGTGTATGAAAGAACGAAGATTAAGATTTCAGCATTCAAAAAACTAATTTAAAACAGTGCTCAATACAAAAGTAGAGCAATAAGTATTTCTTTATTATGCAGTGTTGCATTAGAACATATATGTACCCACTACAAAACTGTACATCTTGTCCCAACGTTAAAAAAAGTAACGTTTCATCAAGTAGTAAATCACGATTCTGCTAAAATATTTTATTCCGAACTGCATTTCGTAATAAAATATTTTAGTAGCATCGTGATTTCCCACCTGATGAAACGTTAAAAAAAATTTAACAGTGATACAAGATGTACATTTTTTTAAGTGGGTATGTGCATGTTCTACTGTAACACTACATTATATATATATATATATATATATATATATATATATATATATATATATATATATATATATACTGATAGAGAATGAGAGTGGGATGCTAAAACCATCTCAGCTCGAACAAAAAATGATTTTAAAAAATTCGGGTGTTTGGTGAACTGGTCTGATTTTAAGAACTGGATCGGACTGAGAACTTTTCGTTTGTATAGGTTAGGATAGTTTCATTGATTTTACGACATGTCAAATGTTGTTGGGGTATTTAATGTCGAATTTTTGCACGAGCCAACCAGTAAGGATCAAACTCACAACACAATAGGTCAACCTGTCTAGCCTCGTTAACCATTACCCTATGCTGAGTTAGGGTGGTTGATTTTACGAGATCAAACCTTGTTGGGACATTTAATGTTGAAATTTTGTATAGACTGAGAATCGAACTTACTTCATAGTCGTAATGGCTAACCAGATTCTCCACGCTAAACATTACCCCTGAAGCCGAGGCCCCTACACACTTATAGACACGAACTTTAAATAAACGATAAAATAAAATAAACAAAAAAACCAAAAAACGTGTGAATGAAAATCTGTCAATTCAACTTTGGTAAATGTTAACACAATCACATGTACAGATATAAATATATCCACTCTTTGACCCAATAATGATAAACAGAGTATAACCTAATAGAAAAGGACAAATAACTACCCACCCCCTGTCTTCTTTCCTTCCTTTCTTCCTCTTATCACTTTCCTTTTTCTTCTTTCATAAATACTCTTTATTTATTTATTTATTTCTTTCTCCCTTACTTCTACTGTAGGTATCTACTAAATTGTCTGTCGATTTTATTTTATCAACTCAAATGTTCTGCTGAAGTTGGTCTGTTGTGTATTGCTCGCCATCGAGGATCTCTCGCTGTTATATTCTAAGTTTTTAACAGTCCAAGTCGAATTTATATAAACATACGAAGCCGGAAATCATTTCTATACCTTGTTTCTACTGTTGTCAGGATATACTTGGATGAACAGCTGTATTTTATAAAACAGATACACATATGGATCTCTATGGATGTAACTAAAATATCACCAAATCCATACACATAAAAGGGAAATATAACGAAGGTAAGAGTATTAATGCATTTTTATTAGAACAACTA